AAATAAACAAAAAGTAAACAAAATAAATCATCGCGAAATTTATGCAACTCAAAATACTCGATAACAAAATAAAATATCAAACCCAAAATAAAATTAAAACAAAGAATTAGGAAAGTAAAGGTTAAACACACAAATTAAACATTAAGGAAAAATACAACCGTAACATTATAATAGACAAAATATTAATAATAATAGACAAAATTTGAATAACAATTATTATCATCAATTATCAATTATTATAATAATCGAGGACAAACTCGACCGAACTATCGAGGTTATGGCGCTACACAACGGGGACGTGCAAATACTCATACTCGTAACCACGGAGGCACATTCGTCGTAGAAACTCAGGAGAGGTTTTCTGACGAGGGTGTTACCGATGAAAGATTTTAAATGCGGAATGAATGGTATTATAGGATCAGATTCTTTATGAAACATAATGCAACAATAGATTTTGAAACATTTTCTTTAGCGTTTTGGTATCATTCTCATAAAATTGTACTTAATTTAGAATCTAAATTTAATAACTATACGGTCATTCCACCAAGATGTGAGACAATAAAACAATTTTGGGTAAATGATTCCGATGACTGTGTAGTTTTGCCATCTGCAATTTGTGAAGGAGTATTTATCGCGGGAGTCATTGTTCGTAGAAACACTCACATTAAAAATTAAAAAGAAGTCAAAATTAAAAATTTTCAGCCCAGCACATCTAAATTAACAAATTATCATTTATATAACTTTAAGGATAATAAAATTTCAGTAGAAAGGGTAGATAATTTACTTGATTTGTTAGATACTAAACATTAAAACAAAGAGGAAAAAGAGTCCATTCAGAAAATTTGCGCAAAGTATGCAGACATTTTTCATTTAGATAATGATCCTATAACTGTCACAAATGTAGGAAAGGAAATTATTAGGTTAAAGAAAGATGCAGAACCAGTTTATGTTAAACCGTATCGGGTACCGTATTCTCATAAATTAGAAATAAATAAACAAGTTGATGATATGCTACAAAAGGGTATAATAGAACCAACAAGGTCAGGGTGGTCTTCCCCATTGCTTATTGTACCGAAAAAGTCGTATTCATGTGAAGATAAAAAATGGAGAGTAGTTATTGACTACAGACTTTTGAATAAAAACGTAGAAGATGACTGTTTTCCACTGCCGAACGTTACTGAAATTTTAGATTCATTATCAGGAGCTTAGATTTGACACAAGGCTATTATCAAGTTGAGTTAGAGCCCTCTATCAGAAAATGTACATCATTTACTACTGACAAGGGACAGTTTCAAATGACAATTTTGCCGATGGGTTTAAAAACTGCCCCCAGTGCATTTTCAAGGGTGATGACAATCGCTATGTCCGGGTTAAACTATGAATCTTGTTTTATTTATCTTGATGACCTTATCGTGTTTGGAAATAGTTTGCAAAGTCATACACAAAACTTAATAAAAATATTCAACAGACTTCGTGATGTAAATTTAAAATTAAATCCGAGTAAACGTCAATTTTTAAAGAAAGAAGTTCTATATCTGGGACATGTAATATCATCAGAAGGTATTTCCCCAGATCCAAATAAAATTAGCGTCATTCAAAATTATGTAACACCTGTTACTACAGATGAGTGTAAACGATTCGTAGCTTTTGCAAATTATTACAGAAAATGTATGCCAAACTTTGCTGCAATAGTGAATCCATTAAATAAATTAACGCGCAAATCAGTTAGTTTTGATTGGAATAACGATTGTCAGGAAGCTTTTGAAATGCTTAAGTTGGTTTTAATTAATACCCTAATCTTACAATATCCAGATTTTTCACCTTCAAATGGATGCCTCTGGATATGCAATTGGATCAGTTCTATCCAATTCAGATAATAGACCAACAGTTTTCGCAAGTAGAACTTTAAATAAAGCTGAATTAAATTATACAACCATTGAAAAGGAATTGTTAGCAATAGTTTGGTCTGTCAAACATTTTAGACCTTATTGATTTGGTAGAAAATTCAAAATGTTGGGTATGAACGATCCGTCTTCTAGGTTAACAAAATTTAGATTAATTTTAGAAGAATTCAATTTTTCTTTTCATTACGTAAGGGGTAAAAATAATTCTGTCGCGGACGCACTATCTCGAATAGTAGATTCTAAAGATTTGGAAAATTCATCAAAAAGTGTGTTTGCAATTACAAGAGCAATGAGTAAAGAAAAAACAGTAGAAACGAAATTAGGACTCAATAACGAAAACGATGATAGGAGTGGAATTGTTGAGTTATTGAAACGACCTTCCAACTCTGTTGAATCGAAACAAATAATAAAGAAGTTTTAATACTATCACAAAATGGTACTTTAGTAAAATCGGGTTCATTACTATATGATAAAGAATTAAATATACTTTATATAAAAGTAATACATTCATCGACTTTAGCCCTCGACGCTGAGTTGAAATGTTTACAAACTGTATGTCTTAATAATGGAATTCCTCAACTATATATTTTAAAAAATAAAGAAAATGAATCTTTAGTCGCCCGATTAATCAATCAGTCTAAAGTATTGAAAAAACTAAATTTACAATACAATACAATTTGAAATTCCACAAACAATGGTTTGGAAAACATTAAAGCGGCAGGGCTTAAACGCTTTTCATTTGCAGAAAGTACAAAATCTACAAGAAGGCGATTATCCATTAAGACTACAATTTTGTCAATGGATTCGTGAAAACAGAAGATTACTTAAATGCATATTATTTTCTGATGAAGCTCAATTTACTCGAGATGGAATTAACAATTACCATAATAATCATCGATGGTCGGACGAAAATCCCCATGCCACGCAAGAACACAATTTCCAACATCGGTTTAGTATTAATGTATGGTGCGGCATTCTAAATGATCAGTTGTTTGGTCCTTTTGTGTTGGATGGCCGTCTTACTGGGGAAGGTTATTTACATTTTTTGGAAGACCATTTAGAGGAAATATTGGACGATGTACCTTTGAATATTCGACAACGTATGATCTTCCAACATGATGGAGCACCCCCTCATTATTCAAATAATGTGAGGAATTTTCTAAATACGCATTTCGGCGATCGCTGGATTGGCAGAGGAGGCCCGCACCCTTGGCCACCGAGATCACCGGACCTCACTCCCCTAGATTTTTGTCTTTGGGGATGGATGAAGTCCTTAGTTTATGCTAGGAAAGTGGACACAAGGGATGCGCTACTAGATCGTATTCTTAATGCTGCGGCGTTCATTAGAGCGAATCATCGTTCACTGAAACTGGCTACCAGGTCCATTTATAAACGCGCAAATAAGTGTATCGAAGTGGGTGGTGGAGTTTTCGAAAATTTAATGTGAATTAATGCTACTTGTTTTTTGGGTTTGTTAGTTTAGTAATAAATTTTGCTTTAATTTTGAAATTATTATTGTTCAAAATATCTCAAACAAATGAAAATCGGATTTGAACATATGGGCTTATTTTGCTTATTTTAGCTTCCTAGACATGTCCTTAAAATCTTTCCATTTCCTCCCGAATCACCCTGTATATGTGAAAAATAATAAAAGCGAACTCAAGATGAGACTACGCTCTGCATTACACGAAAGGGGGGAAGTAACTGAATCAGACACCGAATTGGATGACTCGTTCGTAAGTATGGAGACTGTTATTGCTACCAACCACCAAACGGTGAAGAGAAAAAGATCGCTTAAAACGACTGCTTTTAAACTCATCAATAAAATTAAGTTTCTGGAAGATAAAATAAATAGATAGTCAGTTTAATTATCTAAATCAGTGAAATTATTAAAACTTAAATCAACTAATAAGATCAGTAAGGCTGTGTCATCCTCATCACTTCATCGATGTACCCTGCCCGACAGTAACACGGTCATCATCAAGGCCGAGCACTTCCTGTCACCGAAAAAGTAATAGATTTAACTAAATCTAGGAACTTGTAACTCTTTTTAGAGTGAAATTCATCTTTTTAAAGATGTTAAAAATACAGAGTTAATATACTTACTCCATATGGGTGTAATTGTGCACTTTTTAACTCCATGTGTTAGTTCATATTAGAATACAAATAATTCGGTGTAATTTAACTAAATTTAAAATAGTATTCACTCCGTTAGGAAGTAGTTGTAATCACGTGATTTGCCATGTGATTTAAAGAAAAAGTATGCTATATCTTTCTCATGTATGTGCCATAAATCTATCTCTCTCATTCGCTGCACCTGTAGCGCTTTTGTATTGTTAAGGTGGCCCCACACGACTGGTCTAATTGGCAAGTACGCAAGTAGGCAAATATTTGTGTAAACATTGGCCTTAAATCGTTGCTCCTCCCAGATGACTGGTGTACTTGGCAATTACGCAAGTAGGCAAATATTTGTGTAAACATTGGCCTTACATCGTACACCCTCCCAGACGACTGGATTAACTTATTTAGTTTAAAATGGACCGTGATGAAGAAATGAGTGTTGCTGCTGCGACTTGTATTATGAGCAGTGCATTATTATTATTATTGAGAAAAAAAACAGAGAATCGTAAAAAAAGAAGATGGTGGATGTTATCTTTAAATAAAAGTCGATCTCGGTACGTAATATAATAAATAATACTGTTTCATTAAAATATAACAATTTTCAGCTATAATGCGACATGTATGTTGCAAGACTTAAACAAAGAACCGTCTGGGAAATTTGAAAATTTTCTTCGGATGTCATATATTACCAAAAAAGATACTATAATGAGAAAAGCTATCCCTGCGAACGAAAGATTGGCAGTGACTTTGAGATATTTAATTTCTGGCGACAGTTTTGCAAGCTTATCCTATTTATTCAAAATGTCTAACCAAATAATTTCTGAAATTGTGAATGAGGTTTGCCAGTCTATAATCACAGTATTCAAAGAGGAAATAAAGGTACATTAATAATAAGTCAAGTAATATCTTATAAAAACTAGATTTATTACTTTTTAAAACAACATCATAAACTGTTCTTAATATTGAATTGTTTAATCGACTTCAGTAGGCTAGGATGCGAGGGATGGCTGAACATCGTAATTCGGTGAGTGAATTAAAGATGACTGTTGAGGAGGGTAAGTTTGTGACTGAATAGGAATAGACGGGTGAGAGTTGTGAGCTAATTGTTGAGAGGGAATGGGCTGAGTTGTAAATTGTGGATATTGTGAATGCTGTACTTGTTCGTTCAACTGATATTCCTGATGACGAGTATTTGAGCTGCTTGAGTTTGAAGAACAAATAGATAATTGAGACGGAGTTGGAGAATTGAATACACGATCTGGATTGATACTCATGGTTGTTTCAAAAACTAAATTATCTATTTTATTCATTAGAATAATTCTATTGTATTCATCTAATCCTCTCAGTTTCGACGCAAGGAGCTCACCATAAAGAGAACAACCATCCTTCTCCTGCTTATTGGAAACGTGTTTCATTACATTAACGGCTTCTAATAAATGGGTTTCTATTGCATCCGTAGACATAGGCGTTGTTTTCAATCGTTTCGTTTTAGGTGTCGTATTAGGGGACTGAGATGGAGCCGTTAATAGTACATCGATATCTTCGTCTGCGTCGTTGTTTGACGTTTCTTCATCAATCTTAAAAAACTGTATTTTTTAATAATGCATCTTGATTGTTGTATCAAAATTTAATTTTCATAACACAATGAAACCAAACAAATTTTTATTCAGGTGGCGCAGACCACGACGGAGTGGAACAAGATATCAAAGGAATACAATGACAAGTGGAATTTTCCAAATTGTATTGGATCACTAGATGGCAAGCATATTGTATTATTGTCACCAGCTAATAGTGGGTCCGAATTTATTAATTATAAGGGTACATTCAGCATAGTATTAATGGCTCTGGTGGATGCTAACTATTGCTTTTCATATGTTGATATTGGTTGCCAAGGGAGGTTAAGTGATGGAGGCGTTTTTCGTTGAATGTTCCTTTACCTAGCCCTATAGAACCTAATGGACCACCTTTACCTTATGTAATAGTGGCTGATGATGCTTTTGCCTTAAGTCAATATATAATAAAGCCCTACACAGGAACTCATGAAAGAAACAGTAAAGAGAGACATTTCAATTATCGGCTATCACGTGCCCGGCGAGTAGTTGAAAACGTATTTGGAATAATGTGTTCCATATTTCGGGTACTAAGAAAACCAATGTTGCTCAACCCCGATAAAGCATCTAACGTTGTTATGGCTTGTACATTATTACATAATTTCTTAAGGAGAAGTAAAACATCATCGTCAATATATACGCCTCGAGGTACGTTTGACAGTGAGCAGTATGGAGAAATAGTGCCAGGAACGTGGCGAGAAAGTGACGATACCATGTCATCTTGTTTACCACTAGAAAATATGCGAAGAGGATCTGAATATCAGCCGAAATTTATAAGAGACAGCTATGCTAAATACTTTGCAACAAATGGAAAATTACCGTGGCAGGATTCTTTTATTTAAGTACATAGATAAAGTTTTGTGTTTGTATAAATTACAATATAGTATATTAATAAATGATTAACTTACCGATGTGTTTATTGTTTCTCTTGGTAAGTTAACAGGCTGTAGAAAATTAGCCATTGCTTCATATGCAAACCAATTAGGCTTGTATAATTCACCTGTTCCAGCACCCGACTTGTAACTACTTCTCACCTTTTTCAATAATGGGCGGAATGTTGCCATTAAAGATTCTTTTTTTTTCTTCAATTCCGCCACAGAACAATCGACTCTCAATGATGCCTTAATGTTGTTCCACGCATCTGCAACTTTATTTCTATTTTTGTGATTTGGATTCTTTGGATTCCAAATAATGTTTTCAATTTCGTAGAATTTTAAGAACTCTAATGTCAATTCATTAGACCATTCCATTTTTCAAAGGAAACCTAAGAGAAACCCCTACAGAAGAGAAATTACTAAACTACTAAAGAGAAACCCCCACAGTAAAAATCATTTGTATAGGTTATGTCGATCATGTTTCCGTTGGAAACTGCACCACGTTTGCCATATGCGTAGTAGGCATTTTCCACAGTATGCTTATCTCTTTTACACTTTCATATGTCCTTATTCTATCTCCGTTTATTCACTTTACTTATTGTTAGTTGTTTTATTCATTTATTTCTTTTACACATATGTCTACCAAAATTCTATTTAATATTCCATAGTAATTTAAAGATGTAAAACAGTAATTTTTATTTTGTGTAGATTTTAAACTGATTGATAATTAAATTTTTTTTTCAATTGTATTTAACAATTGTAACAATTGTAACAATTTTATCTAAATATGAGATTGGAAAATTTTTTCTTTATGCAAATATTTTAATATTTTCCATTTCTTTATTTTTATTTTGATTTAATACGTGTCTGATTTTACATGAATCATTATCGAAGTAGCGATGCGTGTGGGAGCTATGCCGAGTAAGCTTGGCAAACCCTACTTGTGTTCACTTGTAACATAAAAAATACCTATAACGATGTGAGCTCCCAGACGCTACGCAAGTGTATCCGAGTAGACGAATATTTGCCAAGTACACCAGTCGTATGGGGCCACCTTTAGCGTTGCCGGTGGCAAACGAAAAACGGACGAACTTGGTTTATTGGCTTATAGTGGTAGAAACTTGGCATTTCTTATTACATATAATCATTTTGTCAACTAAAAATCGATATTTTTTTTAATCACTGGGAAACCATCTAAATAAGCCTGAACAATAAAAAAAGGGCGTAAATTTTACGGAAAATTCGACCGAAAAATTTCGAACCAAGTCTCTTACTAGCGGAGCGAGCGATCTGCCCGTTAGCGTATTATTACAAGCACCTTTGTCTCCTATACCTGAAGTTCACGAAAACTCTGGAAATGTAGAGGTAGATCTCATCTTCAAACTCAAATAATTAAATGTGTAATAATATCGGCAATCCACAGGAATTAGAACAAATATTAATGGCCCGAGCTGATGGCAAGGAACTGTTAAGTGAATATGCGTCAAGCAAAGACCTCAGTACTTCAAGTAAAAAAAATGGACAAACATTGTTGTGTCAATAATCATTGAAAACATGGCAGTTATCTTGGAAAAGATGTAAAAAGTAAATATGCTAAAGAAATAACAAAATTATTTCAATGTTATGAAAACAATGATGGAAATAGATATGTAAGTTTCATGTACAATTAAGTAAAATTTCATATTTAACTGCTATCATTAATATTTTCTAGAAACTTTTTTTTAATCCGGAAGATAGAACAGGATTTCTCGAGAATCGTTTGAGGACCGTAAATAGATCTAATCCTCACCAAAAAAAAAATAAATAAATTAGCAGACCATTCACACACAGACTCCGTATAGACACTTGAATCGGTTGTCACTAAAAGTGATGATGTTACTGAGTACATACACTGGCTGCAAAATGCTTGTGTAAGGAATGACAAGCAATTGATTTTTGACTATATGGTTAAAACTTTCAACAATAAACAAAATGTGGATGATATTTTTAGATAAGCGCAGTAGCAGTTTTGGCATTAAAACAGAAGTATTTTGAACGATTTGCAATATTTTAAATTATGTCATAATTTTTCGATCGATATTATGCACGATATATTAGAGGGCGTTGCCCAACTTGAAATAATATATTTTTTAAAGTACTGTTTTCAATGTAACAAAAATATGTCTCTTGAGGCGTTTAACAAACGACTAGAAACATTTAATTATGGCAAACTCGATAAAGCAAACAAACCTAGCATCGTTATTTTAGACAAACCGGGCAACCTTATAAACCAACGAGCTGCACAAACACATTGTTTAATTCGATACTTACCGTTTATATTAGGGACGATACCGGACGAATGTCAAATAAAATACAATGTTATTATTCTTTTAGTAAAATGTATGCCAATTGCTTTTGCACCTACCATATCGTTAAATATGATAGATAATTTGAAACATTTAATAGAACAACATCATGAACAATATATGAAACAGTTTGATGCATCGCTGAGCACAACAAAAGAGCACAACATGTTAGATTATCCACAGATAATTATGAAAATGGGACCACTTATCAATTTATGGTGTATGAGATATGAGGCAAAACATACATTTTTTAAACATGTCGCAAATTGTTTTATAAATATTTGCAAAACTTTGAGCTGGCGTCACCAACTTAAATTTTCAAAAAACCTGGATTTTAGCATGAGAAAAACTCTCCTATTTCCGACGTTCTTCAAAAATGGACTAACAACCGCAAAGTTAGTATACTTGAAGACTTTGTGTGGGTCACATGGATAAAATATAATAATAATCAATATGCAAAAAATTTATTCATTTTTCAAAAGTTTGATAACAATAAATTACCTATATTTGGAAAAATAGAATATTTGTTTGGACTTAATTTTATAGGGTTTGTCGTTTGTGTGATTTATTCAAGTATTTGCTTTGATGACTACTATCAAGCTTATGAAATTGAAAAGACTGAAGGAAAAGTTATTTTAGACCTAAGTAAACCTAAGTTTGTGTCATTGTATGAATGCCATTCACCTTTTGGTGTTAATAAAAATTACATTTCTACCAAGTACGAATTAGTTGAGATTTAAATTTAATTGAAAAGTCAATGAAAAAACTGTTCAAAAACGATGAAAATTTTTATTAAAATGTGTGACGTCTGTGCTACCTATATATTTCAACCACCTGGTGGTCCTCTTCCGACGCGTCATGTTACTACAAAAATATCATGTTAAACGGAAGAAAAGACAATAAAACACTCGCATAAATTAGAATAATATATTTATATTTAATATATATCTAAAAGTTTCTTGATTTAGTTTAAATTTCTAAGAAAATGTAACACTAATCTTTGTTTTTTTTTTAGTATGCAATAGTTAGTTCTAGTAGTTGTGTTCTACTCAATATTTTCTGTATTTTTTTTTACTTTTTTATGTTTTAAATATATTATTAAAAAATAAATAAAGCTGGTATGACTTAACCACGGTCCTGTTCATAAATCCTTAAAACCTGACAAAAAAATAAAAAGTTTAATTACATATAATTAGTTATCTAGAAAGGAGTTACATTTCTCTTTTTCTTACATCTTTCAAGGAAACGTTTATCAGTCAGTCAACATTGTATGTGAACGAACGTATTTCGTGAACGAGTTTCCAGTATAAGACGAAAGTGAGTTATTTGTTAAAATAAAACTCCACGTGAGTAACTTATCTCAAATACAAAACGACGGGCCTTCTACAAATTTAATAATTGGTAGTTAGATCGAATTGTCACCCTTTATGACAAACATATAATAAACGAAGATACAATAGTCGCGGAGAAAACTAAGATTAAGAGACTATATTAGATTTTAAGTTTAAATGTTATACTTAGAAAGGGGGATGTTGGGTGGTTGTTAGACAACCTGTAATACGGGAGTTGTAGAATAAAGACAGTTAACCTCGAGACTCGGAGCGTACAACAATAAGCTATAAGTCAGAACGTGTCTTATCTTGTTCGGTATTATAATCGTAAGTTGACATAAGCCCTTTTGAGCAACCAATTTAAAACTATGCAGACGTCCCTAAAGACTTAAATTGACTTAGGTCTTTCATATCAAACATGCTTTGGCTATTCAGACCATTATTAATTTACTGTTATTGTACAGAAATGAGTGAAAGAAGTAAATATATAGTGCAATTGGCTCTAGGACGTTCAGGTAATTATTACTCTTCTAAAGTACAACGTATTTTTCAGACGTTATAGTGGAATATTAATAATAATAATAACTATTTCTTAAACATAACCTCAAAATCTAAGCTCTAATAGAAATTTCTTTATTTAAAGGAGCTGAAGCTTTATCTGATAATGATAATAATAAAAAATGCACAAGCACAATTATGTCTTCGCCAGCCCCTACATTACCCTCAGATTGTCCAGATTTTTTGGACTCCGATGATAGCGTAACGGATAAACATTACGTGCCAGAAGATGACTTCAGCGACAGTGAAGATAGTGAGGATAATGACAATTTGAGAGTGTTGCAAAAAAAGGCTAGCATCGTTTCTGCAAATTTTATTTCTAATTTTCAGCGGCCCCTGAAATACACGATGCGGAAACTAGTCAATCAGTTCCAGTCAGTAAGGTGCAAACCAAAGAAAAAGTTAAAAATCTTACAAAAACAAAATGGTCGAGGTCTATTAGAAGGGAAAGGACTGCAAAGATTCACACTGGACAAGCGTACATCGGTGTCAACGGAAAAGTAGTGAATGCAAGGCAGCTAAAAAGTTTAAAAAAGTGCAGAAAAAAATGCAGCTCTTTACTAAGCGATGAAGTTCGAAAAATAATTTTTAAGGAATATTGGACACTAGGATCTCATGACAAGAGTTACTTTTATAGCAAACCTTATAAATTTGAAACAACCACAAGTTTCACGTAAAAGAAAACCTGACAGCTTGAAAAATAGAGAAGTAACATATGAATACACTTTAGAAGTAAATGGCAAGAGGTTATCTGCATGCAAGGACTGTTTTTGCAGGACTTTGGATGAAAAAGAGAAATTTATTAGAATGGCTATCAAAAATAAAACGAAGAATACTTCTGGTATTACTACAAATGGTATTACAACAAAAAAACGGAGGAAGAAATAAATGCACACCAGACGCACGAATGACAAAAAGTACCTTCCATCTCATTTAAACTTGCGAATTATGTACGATTTATATAAGGAAGAAAGAAACAATCCTGTTGGTAGGACAATATATGAGAGAGAATTTCATAAGATGAAACTCTCATTTAAAAAACCGCACGTGGATACTTGTTCTAAATGCGACACCTTTCATATGCAAGTACAGGTTGCTACTAACTCGAACAATGTGGAAGAGAAGCTCCGTGTACAAAGACA